TTAATATATAACTTAAAACTGCTAAAAATTTACTCTAAAACTACTCTAAGTTTATTCCAAAGTTATTTTAGGATCTTAAAGCTATCATAGAGAACTCAAAATTTTCTTTTAAATTTATCTCTTTATGTAAAATAGTTTCTCTATATTTACAACTCTAATTATTTTTTTATAACTCAATAGCATTAATTTGCAGTGTTTATTCATTCCATATCTTTATTCTAAGCCTCAAACCTTGCTATAAGAATTATCATAAGAAACAATTAATATAAAGAGAGATTAAACATTCTAAAACTTCAAAATAGATCTATATATATCATTGTAATAATCTTCTATCAGTTAAAAGACGCAAAGAATTTTAAATAAAACAACCTCTATAATTTTTTTTTCGCCATCAAAAATCTTAAAACTAAGAAAGTAGACAAATAAAATTTAAAATTTAAAATACTTGCCTAATTTTAAGAAGCCTTAAATTACCCTTAAAATATCTTATTAAACCTAAACTCTAAAATTCTTACTGACTTACACACTCTCATGTGTTCCCTCTCTGTTTTTTTAATACAAGGTCATGGTAAACATTGTCTAAGGAGATCAAAATTAGGTCATATCTAAAGTCATCAAGCTTTTAGAAATAGTTGAAGGATTGTCAAATAAGGTGAAAGCAAAATTTTTATTAAAACTTTTGGGAGCTAAAAGATCAACCTCGATTAACTTCTATATAAACATGATGGAATGTAATTTTTCAGTCTCTCATTGTGAAATTCTTTATGTTCTTGATAATAGCAGAGAGAGGGTGGCAATGGGAGAAATTGCTCTCAATGAGGGAAAGAGCCTTCATAGAATCAAAATAAACAATAACTTTAGAAATTTTAACATTTCAGCAAAGGTTAAGCCCTTCTAATTTTCATATAAGTTTAGTTATTGTGCTTAGTTGATATCTAAAGTTTTTGGAGAAGCCCTTAATCCAATTATCCCCATCGTCTCTAATAAGGCTTTCACACGCAACAACTCCATTATGGTTTGTCAAGCCATCAATGTCTAGTTTAGCCCATCCAAAGTTAGGTGGATTCCATCTTGCTTCATGATTGATGTTAATTTTGTTCAAATGGTCAAGATTGAATTGAAATTTTGAATCATTAATAATTTGTTGAGAATTAGAGAAAATAATGTTATTGTTCAAGTTAATATCTTTATTGGAGAATTTTTTACATTTGACTTTTTATATTTTCTAACAAGTATGTGTAAAAAGTTTCTACCAAGGCACGTGTTTCTTCTTTGGGGCGCTGCTCAAATTATGAATTGTGCAGTGGGTGCGTGCGTTAGGTTGTGATTAGTTAGGGCAGTAGTGGGCCTTGGACCCACATCAAATTTTCTTTATTTATTTTTCCTTCTCTTCTTTTCCACTTTTTACTTAAATACAGTATATTTTATATCACAACTTACAACTATAAATAAACGCGCACACATATTTTCAATCATTCATCCACTTTTTTGTTTTGGTGAATCAATCACTCATTTATCCACTTTAGTTTGTGCATAAACACAACCCTATGCGTAGGTTTACACACACACACACATATTCTATTTATATAGATTTATATTTATACATCTTTTATTCACCCATTCTTTACGCACACACTTGTGTTATTTTACCATTACTGGTTGAAATTAGATTCGTTTAATTTATTCTATTTTAAGTAAATTTTTATTTTAAAATTATTTTACTCACTTTCTAAATTTCCCATTCTCAACAAATGCTCAATAATTTCTCATGCCTCAAAATTATCTTCTTATATTTTGAAGTTGTCTATAGTTAGTTTATTATCCAGAAATTAAAATATAGGATGCTACCTCTCTTCTCATGTCTTTATCTGGTAGCTTTTTATCACACCTACGCACGGATCTACCGTGTGCACTTGTGTATTTGCAGAGGTTATAATAAATTCTTCAGCTTTAATTATTATACACAGACACAGACACACGCACATATTAAGATAAGAGAACAAATCAACCTCTAAACTATAAATTTAAAGCTGTTTGAAATTCTAAACTTATTTTTTTGATGTAATATGATTCATTTTAATTTTTAAAAATGATATAATTTAATCTCTACCATTAATAAAAATTAATTTTGATAGTTAGTTAACTAAAAAATGAAGGATGCCAAAAATTTAAGACCTATGAAATTTTCTTGATCATTTCTTGTACTTTTTTAGATCCTTTTATATTATTTTGGACAATTTACTGTAATTTTTTTGTCCAATAAAACGGTGCAAGCAGGATTATTTTCATCCTTTTCCATTTAATCTTTTTGTATGGTTGTTTATTTATCGCTTAATCACGTGGCAAAAATAATCCATATGTACGCTGAGTCCAAGCCACGTCATCAGCCACTAACACCGTTTGGTCTACAAATTAACAGAGATTATAAACATAAGGACCAATGTCTATAGCTGAAAAATTTACAAGGACTCGATTTAAAAAAAAAATATAAGTACGTGATTAAAAATCGAGTAAAATTGCAGGGAACTAACAGATTAATTTTGCCTGATAACTTTTGATTTCTTGCATATTCTTGCTTCAAAGACTTAACAGGATCGACTTATCGTGCTATTATCGCTATGAAATGAGTATACGATTGACTTCGGGTTAGAAAGTAATAGGCACCATCAAAGAATATGCCCATCATCTATAGATTCTTTCTTTAATTCTTTCTTTGTTTTATTTTTTCCTAACATTATCGTGGTTTTGAAAATGAGCTGACTTTAATATTACATAACAAAGTATAAAAATCCGTATCAATCTGTCCAGTTAAATCAATAAAGTAGTGTATTGACTAGGTTGATACAGTTGGAACTATATTGCTTGTCCGGTTCAATGATTAATTTGATTTTCATTACCATGTTATGTATACATGTTTTGAAGTTAATAAAATGTATTTAAGCTCAGAAAAAAGAAGCTATATACTTATTTTTAAGTGGAAAAACATTTATTTTCAATACAATATTTGTTCTTGTATTTATTTATTTTTAGTTAAAATTAGTGAATGGAGAAAATAAAAGTGAAGAAATTAAACAAGAATTGATATTTGCATGTATGTACAGGTTGATCCAGTTTATCCAACCACAATATTAGATGTCGACATCCTATCTGGACTGGCACACACAAGCACAGTTTATTCTATCTCTCTTGTTGTGTATCTTCTATTTTTTTTTTTTGTCTTTGATATAGGATACTTGACATAATATTAATTATATTTTTTTAATATTACCTCTATTTAAATTTATTATCTATGAAAAAAATGTAAATGTGATGTAAATTTGAAATTTTTCAACTAAATATGGTAAAATTGAAAATTTATTTTTTTAGAATGATTTAACCACATTTCTTTAATTTTGTGAGGTGATTAATTAGAAGTTTCTTATAATAAATATCAAAGAGAGTATGTATTAGCATAATTAGAAGTTTAAATTAGAAAAAAAAAGTGAGCTTTTAGGCTTGGTTAATTTACAAAACTTTAAAAATTATGTGCGAGCCCAATCCATGGAGCAGGTTAATTTACAAATAAATCTTACAAAATTTAAAAAATTACAGCAAAGACAATAATGCTGTTATTAGAAATATATTACATCAATATAGTAATTTACAATTAATTCATAAGTAATTTACAACTATCAGTTTAACTTTTTACAACTATAATTTTATAGATTTAATAGTTAAACAGATCATATATTATAAGTTTAATGCTAATTGTATATAACTACTATTTCAACATTTTACAACTATAATTTCATGTATTTAATAATTAAACTGATCATGCGTTACTAATAAAATTTAACACTAATTATTTGCAACTATTTCATGAATAATTTATAACTATCACTTCAATATTTTATAACTATAACTTCACATATCTAATAGTTATAAATTACTTTATTCATGTAATGTATTTTTAATAAGGACATTATTATCTTTGTATTGTAATTTTAAACTATACTTAGATCTCAAAGGACCTGAATATGTTTTCTAAATTTTATAAGATTTATTTATAAATAAATTTATTTAATGAAACCTATATGCTCTCTTCGTATTAAATTATAGGTCACTTTTGAAAGAAATTTTTCATCTCAAAATATAGGGCACTTTAGATGGATTAAGGTTTCATTAAATGCATCAATTTTAATATTATCCTTTCTTTTTTTATAATTAATTCATGTCCCTTCTCTTTTTAATATATTAAATGATAAATATTTTTAAAAGTTCATATTTTTATTTTAAAAATATAAAATTGTTGAGTATATTTAATAAAATTTATTAGTATATAAAATTTTATATAAAAATACTTTATAATTTTGGATGAAGGGAATATATATATATATTTAAAAAATGATAAATTTAAGGCAAGTTGACTTATGAATTTGAGTGCTTGTCATCACCAAATCCACCCGTCCAATTCCACCTTGATGACGTCATCGTCTATACTATAAAAGCACCAACACTTAATAGAACGGACAGTTTGGGGTAAGTTTATCTGCATCGGATTCAATTTATGCTAAATTTAAATTATTTTACATATAAAATAGCACGTATAATTAAGTTTGACCTTAATCTTTTAAACTTTTAAACTTATTTAGACTGTTTTAAATATTTAATTATTAAATATTATTTTAGTTTTATTTTTTTGTTCATGTAATTTCAACTTTTATTTAAAAAAATAAAATTTTCAAATTTTTATCTTATTTTTAAATTATTTTACAAATAATAAAAAATGAATTTGGGTTTTTGGACTTGATTCAAATTTCTTCCAGTTTATTTAAAGCAATTTTTTTTTTTAATTCCTAAACCCAAACTTAAAATTTTTTAAGTTTTTTTGGGCTGACTTACTGCGTTTGACACAAACTATCGCCGGTACTTGTACAACTCCTATATATATATATATATATATTCACCATCGTTATTTCTTTACTTCACCAAGCAATCACAGTAAAAAAGTAGTCCCAACAATGACAGTCATCGTCAACAAGAGCTTCCTTGTATTCCCCGTCCTTCTTGCTATCACCTTCACCTTCGCCCATGGCGCTCGGTTTGATGTCACAAACAGATGCCCTTACACTGTGTGGGCAGCAGCCATGCCCGGTGGCGGCCAGAAGCTAGACCCTTGCCAAACATGGACCCTCGAAGTGGCCGCCGGCAGAACCCGGGCCCGTATATGGGGTCGAACCAACTGCAGCTTCGACGGCTCAGGCCGCGGCCGCTGCCAGACCGGAGATTGCGGAGGCCTCCTCCGATGCCAAGCTTATGGGACACCCCCAAACACCCTAGCAGAATTTGCCCTAAACCAAAACAAGAACTTGGACTTCTTTGATATCTCACTTATTGATGGCTTTAATATTCCCTTGGACTTCAGTCCGACGGCCTGTCCGACATCAAAACGGTGTCGCGGCATCCGGTGCGCCGCAGATATCAACGGACAGTGCTTGAACGAGCTACGAGCTCCCGGCGGTTGTAACAACGCTTGCACAGTGTTTAGGACAGATCAGTTTTGCTGTAATTCTGGGAAGTGTGGGCCCACAACATATTCAAGGTTCTTCAAGACAAGGTGCCCTGATGCTTATAGTTACCCTAAGGATGATGCTATCAACACTTTCATTTGCCCAGGAGGAACCAGTTATAAGGTTGTCTTTTGCCCTTGAATATATGAACATGTACGTCGTTTCATGTCTTATGTATAATATATTACTCCTCGTACCTAGCTCCAATCCCAAATAAAAGAGAAGTGTAGGTAAGGATTTGGCTCATAGTATACAAAATTGTGGGATCAAATTCTGTTATTATATGATGACTTTATTGATGGATGATATGTGAACAACTCTATAAGCATTATTTGAACATAGTGATATGCACTCACCTGGTCGATTATCTCATAAAAAAAGAGGGACTATGTAGTATGAGGAGACTCCACTGTGATGATGTGAATCCTAGAAGAATAGTAATTGTTATCTTTGTACAGAGTAAATATTTTAAAATTGATCTGAGATTCATGAAATTTTGTGAAATTTTATTTTTTAAATATTTTTCTCATTTTATTATTTTTATTAAACATAAAATCTTCACTTCTCTTTCTTGAAAAGACTCATTTCATAAAATTCATAAATTCTCAACTTCAAATGATCCATTTCCACGTCTTTATCTAGCTGTATATCAGCTTGTTATCGTGATCTGCCGCATGTGTCCTAAATTCTTAAGCTATAATTATTATAAATTATTAATATATATAATTAGTTTGATTAAAAAAACCAACATTGAATTTTTAAATATTGATAAAATATTTTCATATGTTGATATTAACTTTAATTTTTTAAAATTATAATGATTGTCCAAAAAAGTTATCATTTGAGGCTAGTGTTAGGATTAGAAGGCTAGAAATATTTATACTTGATAAAATTAAAAGAAGAGACTAAAACTTTATATAAAGTTAGAGAATCAAATGAGTGCATTAATTGTTCTTTTTATAATACAATGATATGAATTACAATGTATTATGGCAATTGATTTTTTCTTCTTCTTAAGATATCCCTGATAAATGAAAAGAAAGTTGGCTCCCCTTGGAGTGAAGTTAAGAAAATGATGAGCAATTGAGCATTAATTAAGGTAGAAGTGAAAAAGTGAAAAAAAGCTTAAGAAATACTCCCCCTTTAAAAAATATTTTTTAAAGATTAGATGTAAAAAATATGAGATATTTTTAATTTTTTAATGTGTAATTAATATTTTTTAAAATACCATTAATTAATAAATTACTCAACCATTATTATCTTTAAATGAAATACCCTGCTAAATATATAAAAAGGTGATATTAGTTAAAAGTATCTTATCTGTTTTAATAGAGGGAGTAAATCAATTTAAACCCTTTTCTAATTTAAACCATTTTATTAGTACTTACTTATAAGTTAGAGTATGAAACTTTGTTTTATAAGATAGAATAGATCAGCTAGGGAGCATTTATTTTCCTTTTTGTTTTTTTATAAAACTTATTTTCGTTTTTGTAATTTAGATGTTGAAGAGATAAATAATGTATTTAAAAAGGATTTTATAAACTAAGGCCATGTTCTTTTTTTTTTTTGCCAAACCATGTTTAGTTAATTAAAGGAAATGGAAAGGAAGAGGGGAAAGAGAGAGACGGAGCAGCTTAGACTTTGGATAATGATATATTTTCCATTTATTAAATTTGAAAATTCTGATAGATATTTTAAATATTAAACTTAAAATTGTTCCAATTCAATATGAACTATTTTGAATGGTTATATTCTACAAATTTAGAAAGGGAAAAACATTACCTTAATAGGTACTCCATATGTTAAAAAATATAAGATATTTTTAAATTTTTTAAAGTGTAATTATTATCTTTTTTTTTAAGTATTCTTATGAAATGAATCACTTTATAGTTATTTTATAGTAAAACACTTTATTAAATAAGGATGAATATAAAAAAATAAAATTATTTTAAAAATAAATAATTACTTTGTTAGAGGTAAAATTTATTTTAAAACAGAGGGAGTAACAAATATCATTTGGTAGACCTCATGCTTTTTGGGGGGAAAAAGACATTGCCATACAAGGCAAATAAGTTATGAAACTCTAGTAAACGGATAATGAACAAGCAAAAGCCTGCTAAAATTGTACCATTTTATATTATCATAAACTGCTCAAATACTTATTATTACTTCATTTTGGAAAAGCTAATAATAAAAGAAAAAAATTGGAAGAGTAAGACATTACAAAAGAAATTTAAGAAATAAGATTTAAAGTACGTTTACAAAAACGTGCGCTATGAAGAAATGCTACCATGTTCTATGAAGAAATGCTCCTGTGAACTTCTTTTTTTTTTTTTTTGGTTTTTTCTTGTTTTATAATGGTAATTAATGGCACAAACAAGTGCCTAAATTAACCTTCTTATTTTAATTATCTTCAACAAGATATGGCTAGGAAACAAGTTTGAGACTTCAGAATTCGATATGAACCCATCTTTCTCCATATGTGGCCTCCATCGTTACATTAATTAATTAATATTAATTAATGCATCTGGAATCTGATAGTGGAGATAGAAATTACAATGTTTCATGAACATGGTGGGCTTTTGAAGCATTTTGGATAAGGCTGCAACCATTATGAAAATGCGGCGCTGCAGGAAGCTGCCCTCTGTCCAATGACCATAGTATGGTGTGACTGAAGATTTATCCTATATGGGTTGCCGTGAATGATTTGTGACACATTTATTCCGTTTCTTATTGTTACAGGACCTTTTTTAGTTTTTTGACACTTGTGGTATTATTATATGCTTTTATTGTTATCCTATTTAAATTTATTAACTATAAAAAATATATAATACAAATTTTATTTTTTATTTAAATATGAATAAGATAAGGAGTTTATTCTATTTTTAAATATAATTAATAATTTAACTATATTTTATTGGTTCTTAAAATTGGCAAAATGGGCCAATGTAGCCCAAAACTTGTGAGCTGAAAATGCCCGCTTTTTGGTGGGTTGGGATTTTCCCAACTCATTCGGGTGGATTGGTGATTAAAGCTTACATACCTAACTCATATTATTAGTTTTATTAATTTTAGTGAGATAATTAAAAATGTCTTATAATAAAAATTAAATATTTGAAATGAAAAAGTCCCACATCTAAAAATTAAAAAACAGATTAAGAGTATATAAAGTTTGGGATATATTTAAACTTTATATGATTCTAATTTATCATCTAATTTCTAACAGAGAGATGTCTTTATCTCAAATAAGGTTGTGCAAAAATCTTTTGGTTTGGCCCAACTTGAGACAACCTGGTTCGGTCCAAATAAAAATTGGCCTTTTAAGACCAAAAAGATTAGACTTTTTTTTTTTGGTTGGACTGGACAATAGATTAAGCATAAGAACTACTTGGTCTGGTTGGTCATATAAATTTATTTAATATAATTATAATTAATTTATTAATTATTATAAGTTAATTTATAATAATAATTAATAATTTTTGTGTTTTATATTTGTGAAGTCATGAATATTGAGTGAAATTTTAGAATTGACCAACTCTAATGTTCTTTTTTTATTGGTGAAATTTGTCATTATCTTGGTGTAATGGACTTTAGACATGTTGAAAGTTGTTTAATATTGTTGAATGTTATTTAATTTGAATCATTTGTATTGTAACTAAAATACTTTTTGTTGTTGTTAGAGATTGTTATAGATTTATACTTGTTGTTGTGATAAATTTTATATAACTATAAATAAATTTATTATATTAATTGAGTTTATTAGGTTAAAATAAATTGCTACCTTTCAAATATAAAAAGGAAAAAAATAAAGTAAAATACTGGACAAGACTAAGACCAATCTTCTAATCTTACTGGACCAGTCTGATCCTTTTCAACTTTGAGTTATACCAAGATCAAATCAAATCATAAGTTGCCTAACTTAATCCTTTTCATAAAAAAAACTAGATTTTGAGTTAGGTCAAAATTCTATCCGATTCATTCTTCGTACAGCCCTAACCTCTAATGCTAGAGGGAGTATTTCTTTGATTTTTTTTCCCGTTGTTAATTTGATTGATCAAAAGGGAAGTTACCACGCATTCTTGCAGTGAATAAATTGTGATGTATTTTTTTTAATGATATTTTTTTTCTTGCCGTTATTTGATCAATCTATGGAGATGTACTTTGAAGATATATCAGGATGAGTGCATTAATTATTTCCGTTTAAAACGTCAAAAAATGGATTCCGTTTTAGTTATTTTCGTTTGTGATGTTAGTAGTGGGGCTGGCTTCCTTCCCCCTATCTCTTGAATAGTTTTGGTTTAATATTTTTGTTATTTTACATTTTTAAATATAAAATTTATATAAATTGTGAAAACTTTAATAAATTTGTTCATCAATTTGTATAGATTTAATATGAATAGTTCACATTTAACATTAAAATTTTTATAATTTGACTATTTAAATATATTTTAAATAGTGCAAAATTAATAATAAAATTTTTATAATTTGTATAAATTTTTAATGTTAAATGTAGGTAATTCATATTAAATTTGAACTGTCTATGGATAAATTTATTAAATTTTTTTATAATTTATATACAAATTTTTGATTTTAAAAATAAAAAATATTAAATATTAAATATATACGGTCCAAATTATACTCCATTTTAACGGAGATACGGAGGAGGCTTTTTGAGAGCCAACTACATTAGGCGCTGCCGTGGGTGACTTCGATTCTACGACCGTTCAACACACTCAGAGCCTCAGAGGTGATGTGCGGCAACGATGTGCTGAGAGTCATTGCTATTAAGGTGAATTTCAATTAAGGATCATGAATGAAACTTAATTACTAGTAAATCTTAAAAAAATATAAAATTTTGTTCAATCTATGAGAATTAAAGTGAAAATAATTTTAATTGTGAAAAGACCAAATTATATATCATTTACTTGTTATATGCAGAGTTATTAATTGTTACTTTTTTTTTATTTTACTTGTTAATATATTAATATGAGTTGTAAATTACATAATTTTACATGTGAATAATTAAACAAAGTTTGACATCAATTATTTAATCACAAACAACTATCAGTAGTTAAATTTCTAACTTTACTTATTAATTTACTAACACTAGTTGTAAATTACTAATAAGTATTGTACTTTACAACTAATGTTAATAAATTAACAAGTAAAATTAGCAATTTAATAATTAATGTTACTTCTTATCTAACAAACAGATGTAATTCATAACTCATATTGGCAAATTAATAAGTAAAGTAAAAAAATTAATAATTAATAATTTTTCATAATAAGTGAAGTGTAGTTTAGTCTTT